AAATTGCCGAGATAACCCAGCATCCTCGTGTCGTTTCCTGGCCGCCCTTCATCCCAGGGTGCACCTGCGACGGAGGCCATGCGAAGGGGGACGGTGGAGCGGCAAAAGTTCTTCTGAGTGGATGGAGCCTCTTGAGCAACTTCTAGGTCGAGGGTTCGAACACTTCTTCTTGAGCTAGTGGCTGACAAGATGTGAGTTTCGGATGAGTTGAAAATTCGGGCGAAATTTGGACACATGAGGTGCCGGCTTATCCGATCACGTTGCCATTGTCATAGCGGATACTCGAGTCGAGTCGAGAATATGAAGTCTGAGGGGCGCGCAGGCCGCCAGCGCAGAAGGGGTCTTTTCTCGGCGAAGAGCGTTCGATACGCGTAAACACGTGGACGTGGCTATCATATTTGACTACCAAGAGCCCCAGTGGATGGTTTCGCCTTGCTAGGTCGCGCAAGCATGATCCCAACGGCGCGAACCACCGGCTCGGGATATTCATGTTACCTTGGTTTGGTAAGTAGGCTAGAGGGACGGGACGGGGCCTGAGTTTGCGCTCTCGAAAGTCTAACTTTTGCAGCGTAACTGCCTTAATCTGGGGTAGACACCCCGCCGCCCTCAATGTGGAAGATCAAGCTGCCATTGGGACTTACTTGTTTCCCTTTCTTCGGTAATTCGTTTCCTGGCATCACGGACATCCCTGTCGACTGGCGTGACTGCTGCGCTACTTGTTGCCCACGACCAGCACCTCATCGATATGCCGGAATGGAACCTGATAAGTTCTAGCTCCACTGCACGATGCGTTCTCGAGGAACCGGTTGAGCGCCCGGGCCCAGTACCCGTGCTGTCGGTCTCAAGTGGCAGCTGTTAGCCCACATTTCATAAGCCTCTTGATCCGTTCCCCATGCTTGGCAGGAACGTGATGGCTTACCTGCCAAGCGCCATTTGCCGATAACGCGATGATGGGGAAGCATATCAGTTCCAGGCAGCCTGAAAGTGAACTGGACTTGCGGAACGTCTCGTTCGTGTAGTTACACAGCAAAGGCTGCAGGGTTTGGATTCACTCCCGCACGAAGTCCGCTGCTGCCGCGCTCCCCCACTTTGACCCCGCCATGCAGTTGGAGAACACAGAACAATCCCTGCATCGATAAGCGTCCGTTCGCATCGAGAATGCCCTGCCTGGTGCCTGGGATGATGTAACTTGAGAGCCGCTCAACACTTCTCCATATTCTCCATCTACAACTTTCCACTCTTTCCTCCACCACACCGTCCGGTAGCAACACTCATCGGCTCTCTTCTCGCCGTCGACCACACTAACGCGTGTTTCTCGTTGCTCTGAAGGCCACTCAAAATAGGGAAAGGGCGCCATCACAACTCCCAGCGGTCTCGCGCCGGCAACCGGGAGCCGCTCATTCTTGACGAATTCGGTGACCTTGACGAATTCGACAACTTTGGCCGCGACTTCCGCGTTCAGGCAAAGGGCTCAGGGCACGGCAAGTCGAAGAAGGCGAAAAAGAAACCCAACCGCAACAGAATGGGCCAGGAGCATTCGGCCATCGTCAGCGATGACACCCCGACGGAGACGCTCCGTGAGCGCAGCCTTGCCGCTGTCGCCGAGCACATCAAGTCTGGCAAGGCTCGCCGCATCGTCGTCATGACGGGCGCCGGCATCTCCACGGCGGCTGGCAGTATGTGCTCACCTCACTGCAATCTCACAGAAAGCTGCTGACCTGCGCCGTGAAGTTCCCGATTTCCGATCGCCCGAGACGGGCCTCTATGCTAACCTAGCAAAGCTCAACCTGCCTCGACCCGAGGCAGTCTTTGACCTGCCGTTCTTCAGAACCAATCCCAAGCCCTTCTATGTTTTGGCCAAGGATCTTTACCCAGGAAACTTCCACCCCACTGTCTCTCACGTCTTCATCAGTCTGCTGGCCAAGAAGGGCCTCTTGCACCAGCTTTTCACGCAGAACATCGACTGTCTGGAACGTGCGGCGGGCATCCCGAGCGAGCTGATTGTCGAGGCCCATGGCAGCTTCGCTACGCAGCGCTGTATTGAATGCCGGACACCCTACCCTGACGATTTAATGCGCGAGCATGTCTCGCGCGCCCAGGTACCGCGATGCATTCGCGGCCCCACCGAGTGCGATGGTTTCGTAAAGCCGGACATTGTCTTCTTCCACGAAGCACTCCCGACGCTATTCTATGACCGCAAGGACCTAGTCGATCATGCCGACTTGGCCCTAGTTCTGGGCACCAGCCTTCAGGTTCACCCCTTCGCCGGGCTGCCCGAGTACGTGCGAGAAGGCGTACCTCGTGTGCTGTTCAACATGGAGAGGGTCGGCTCCCTAGGCAGCTTGGCCGACGACGTGCTCGAGCTGGGCGACTGCGACGGGGGGATCCGCAAACTGGCGGACGAGTTAGGCTGGAGTGACGAGCTAGAGGCCGAGTGGCGAAAGTTGGTTGGCGAAGAGGAGGCCCAGCGGCAATTGAGTGGTAGGCGGAAACGTCAAGAGGTGTTACAGGATGAAGTCTCGCGGCTGGCGGACGAAGTCGACAAGTCACTGACTCTGACAGATCGAGGGGTGGCTAACGAGACGGGCAGTACTACTGAAACTACGGGGGTTGCGCGCCGCTCAAGTGATGCTTCGGCTGGCGGCAGGAGTAGACCCAACAATACCGCTACCCCAGCCGAAGCCCATCAAGAAAAGGCCAAGGAAGAGGGCCGGGAAGAGGCGGAAGAGACGCGTCAAGAAAGCACCGATCTTGATACCTCAGATGGTGCTCGAGCATCTGCTGGGGCAGGCTCCGAGTCCGGTCAGCGAAATGACATTGCAGCCGACGGCTTCAGCGGAAAACAGGACACCGCAGGCGCTGCAATCGAGGGGGTGGGTGGAGCTTGAGCACATGGACCAAGAGCAACTGGATCCCACTGGCCTGGGCTGTGTGGGGAAAGGGGCATCGGAAAATGGCAACTTAGTTGTTGGTTCTTTTGGGGTCAGGATGAATGCATTAGCGGGACCTGTAGATGGAATTTTTGTTGATGATCAAAATCAGCCCAAGGGTGCATAGTGTAAAGGTCCGCATGTATCTATCTCTCTGGGTGTGTTTTTTTTGGGAGGGAGGGAGGGGGGGAGGAGGAGGACGGCTTCGAGCGGCAGGCGAGCGAATTGCAACTACGTCTCCTTTCAGATGAGTTTTATTGTTAGTAATGACGAGTGACCCCTTTTTTTTCTTTGTTTTCACACTATTCTATCAGTGATCAAAAACATTGATCCAGGTACTCAGCCTCAAACAAATAACACCGTCTATTCCCCCACGCTTTGTTTCTTTGCCTAGACTCGAGTACCATTGCTAGTTCAGATCATAGGTATAAATATTGAACAAATCTCAAAGTAATCTCTCGTTTCCTAGTCAGCAACACTCTACTCCTCAGCACTGCGACTTGCCTCCAGTCAGTTAGTCGCAATCGCACTTGAGGATATTGCCAGCTCAAGAAGGCGGCTCGACTAACCTCACAGCAGACTGAAGAAACAGGTAAGTAAGATGTCTTACCGCCACTCCAACATGGAAGACTCCACTGAGTGCCCCCTGTGCCTCCTCCGCCGGCCTCTTTGATCTCTGCGACAGCCCTGACTGCGCTTTTTACCTCGACTCCGACGATGAAATCCCCATTCATCGTCGGGACGAATCCCTTCCCTCCAGTCCGTTCGCCTCACCCCAAACTGAGGAATCCGCTTTGGAGCCTGACTCCTGTCCTTGTGAGTCCACCAATCTCTTCAATACCTGCAGCAACCCCGACCTCGCTGTTTTCCTCGACTCCGACGACGAAGCCCCCATCCTCTTTCGGGGTGATCCTCTTCCCTCCCGCCCTGTTGCCTCGCCGCCAAACGACGAGCTCACTTTCGAGTCTGACGCCTGCGCCTGCGCCTCTAGCTGGGCCACCTGTGGCGACATCTCCTGCGTCCTCTGAGAATATAGCGACGGCGACACGTGTGCCCCTTCACGGGGTGCGTATCTCCCGTCCAAGAAGTTGTCCTTCACCCGGCGTGGCATTGCCAGACCCCGAACTGACAAGGACGCGTCCACACTTAGCTCCGCACTCAACCCCGATGCTGCTTTCGAGCCACCTACTTTTGCAGAGGCAGTCTGCATCCATGATGGGTCCCGAGGTCTCACCGCTTGCTCTGCCTTACCCGTTGAGTGAAACTGGCGACAACGTTCTAGGTAACTTAATTCCCGACTCGCAGACCTCGAGCGTAGCCCCGCATCGGATCTGGATGCCTGGTTCGCCTGATTCTTTGGAGGCTGGAGGGGCGGATATCACTTTGCCGCCTACCACGCCCAAGCATCGGTCGGATTGGGGCACTTGAGGAAGGATGGGGCGTGGGTTTGCTGTCGGTGTACGGGGTTGAACACGCGGTGGGAGTTCGACTGCAGCGGTTGTAGGTTGCATCAGAAGGCTGCGTGTTGTGGAGGTTTGGAGGAGGGTGAGGAGGCAGCGGGTCTGGGAAGGAATAGGAGGGTGACGACGTCCCGGCCGGGTGATAGGACTTCTAGGGGTTGGATCCTGGAGTAACTCGAGGTGAGCTTTTTCCTTTCCTGCCTTTGTCTGCCCTGAGATTTCTGTCTGGTGATCAAGGGAGTTGGGCCGGTAGGTTGCGTTCTGCTCTTGAAAAGGCTGCCATGGTGAGTATCCTAGAGTTCTATTCCTGGTAAGTCACAACCCTGTAGAGTTTCTGATAAATATATATATATATATATATGTGTGTGTGTGTGTGTGTGTGTGTACATTATCGTTCAAATCTAGATTTCTCGCGAGCATCAGTGATGTCTCCGTGGTGATATGGGCAATGCATAAATAAAGCTGCCGCAGACGTCCACAAAATGCAAACAAACGGCAACCACGTCAGACAACGACGACGCCGCCACCCGCACCTGCCGAGGCCACAAAAGCGACTCCAGACCAAAAAGCAAACTTTCTCAACCGAAAACCTGCCCAAAAGAAGGATGTGTTCCTCCACCGGGGTTTGAACCCGGGTCTTCAGAGATAGTATTGACTGGTACTGAAAATCTGATATGCTAACCACTACACTATAGAGGAGGACCCTGGTTGTTAGAAGCATATCTGCATCGCTTGCCTTATCTACCCTTGAGCTTCCTTCAGGCTTTACATAGAGCGATTTTCATCGAAAGGGATTGTTCACCTCACGGCGGCAACCAAGCACATCGTCTCTCTTCTCTTGACTCTCTAATACGGATGACCACTGGATTACCACACCGCAACGCCATGTCAATTGCAACACCACACGGCGTGTCGAAGAAGACGGAGCCAGTTCGACTTCCTATATTGCTTACGTGACGTTGGGTAATGGAGCTTTCCTGCCAGAAGAGCATCAACGCAGTGTTAATCACTGGGTCAAGATGGATTGTCGTGTGTACATCAAGGATGAACTCCACATTTAGCCACATTTACGGCAACGAGCGGCCATCCTTGCTCAAGCACGTCTTGCAGGATGTGCACAAGTGGTAATCCATAAAATATAGCCATCAGGCTACTGGTATGTATGCTAAAAACCCTCACATAACCCGTCATCGTCTCATTCCGTCTCATTCCGTGCCTCTGCTGGGTCGCAAACTTCGCTGTCGCCATGCAAAAAGCAGAACAAGGCAAGCCTGCAGTCTTAACCCTTACTTCCTTTCATGGCAATGCTATCCCATCGGCAAACTATTGCTCCATCCTGTTATGTAATCCTCCAAGAGGTCTCTTGTAGTCGGTGACTTGTCCCGGCCTCCCGCTCTGAACTCTTCTCCAAGGACAAGAAACAATCCATTGTAAGCCCGCTTAGCGCCCCAACCGGTTTCATCCCCCAACTCCAACACCGAGAAAATATACTCAAAGGAAAAACAGGAACCCCATAACCTGAGAGGCCCAATGATACATTTGTTGTTGAGCGACAGAGCAAGGCAGCCAAAAGTAACATAACCGGCTCCCGCTGGGAGAAGAATGCGATGTAGTCAATTACAAAGAAAACATGGTTATTGCCAGGTGGCAGCTGCTGGCAAGGAGTCTTTTCATCATTGGTCGTCCGCCGTGTGTCGTCGTCACGGGCGTGTGCTTTAGGTAACTGTCAAACTCTCTGGATCAACGATCCAACTTTTGTGCTTGCCAGCCGTTGAGGTACGCCATCAAGCCCATCCCAATAAGAACCACACCAATCATGGACGCATACGGCAACGTCTGTATTATGGCTGGATCTTGTGGTGGGGATGCCAGTGCCCTCGAAACTGGCGTAATGGTGTTGGCTCGCGAAAGCGTAGGCACCCCTGCGGACTCGTCCGCCGGCCCATCGTGTTGATCTGCTGGCATCGTGGGCGCACCATTGACAACAGAAGTGTCTTCTTCCGAGGTCTTGCCACGGCTGACGGGTGGCGTCCTGCCTTTGGATGGGGACCGTGACTTCCGTTCGGCCGCTGCTCTCTTGACTTCTTCATCGCGCTGTCGGATCTCCTGGACCATTTCCGCAAGCGTCTTCCGATCGGCGTCCCGCTCAGCTTCTGCCTTCTCGGCTCGCTGTCTGAATGCCTCTAGTTGTTCCCTCAGTCCTACCATCTCAGATGCCATTGTGTCGATGCGAGTCTGGAAGACTGCTGCCAGAGCTTCGACCTTGTCTGGTTGAGATGCCGAATTTATTTCCGTGTCTTCGGCAGGTATCGCTGGCGAAGGTGGCCTGTCTGCCGGAAGGTCAAATGCCTTGTCCAGCTCCGAATGGCCGTTGACCAAAGGAGTCACTGCGGACCCATTCATGCTAGCATGGCTGCTTTCTTCCATCTTCCGCATCAGCTCTTCTGCAAGGAGACGGGCCTCGTGCTCCTTGTTGAGCTTCTCCTCGAGATCCCGCACTCGGGCCGTGTGCGTGTCAAGCTCCTTTTTGGCGTTATTAAGCGCCTCGGTGAGCTGCATGATTTGGTTCAGGCTAGTATTGTTTGGATGGATGGGTGACGTGTTCGTAGGGTGTGATTTTGGCCTCTCAGTAGTGCCTCGTTTTAATGCCGGGATTTCTGACGAAACTGGCCGTGAAATGTCGGGCTTCTCTGGAAGAGGTTGCGAAGGGGGTGGAGCCGGGGGCTCGGAGAATCTTGTTTTGCCGCCATCAGAACGGAAAGACATGTTGCCGTTCACACCCTGAGGAAGTTTTGGCGGCTCGGGAGCTTCTGGCTTATCCAAGTTTTTGACATCGTCCTTGGAGAGCAAGGCGTTGATAAACTGGCTTGTCCTGGCGAGATCTTGATTTTGAAGACGGGCATTGCGCATCTCCGCCTTGATGGTGATTAGCTAGACATACATACGCAGAGTGAATCGAAGGTCTTACATGGAGCTTTTTCACGATGTGCTCCGTCGTGATGGGATTCAACCAGAACTGCCGTTGCTGTGCCAGTCCGTTTGCTGGTCCTCCCATATTAGCAGGGGCCATGCGGGCACCGGCCGCCATGGAAGCTTGGCTCGCAGTTCGTCCTCTTGGGGGCGCCCCAGCCACTGGCATCATCAAAGAACCGTTGGAGGGATCAAGGTCGCCAAAGTTCATCTCCATCAGATTGTTGGACGGGCTGACAAAACCGGCGTGCTCGACCTTGGCGGCAACCTTGTGGTGCACGACCGTCTTTTGATCTTCACTCACAATGTCGATGCCAAGTTCAAGGTGGTCCTGTGGTTGCAGCTCGTGCGGTTCGGACTCCCTATTTTCCGGAGACAACCGAGTTCCGTTGACGAAAGTGCCATTGGAGGACTTTACGTCTCGGATCCAAATCTTGCCACTTGCGTCCGCCCAAACTTCGGCATGTTGTCGCGACAGCACCTTGCTGTCGAAGAAGCCATTGACCGGAGTCGGCACAGTCTTAGCATTGGTTTGGCGACCAATGCGCAGGGTGTCTGGGTAGAATGGCACAGATATCGTTTTTCGGTCGAAACTTCCGTTCAGAGACAGCAAAGAGAGAACAGGCTGTCGCCCAGGCAGGACGCCTTCTGCGCCTGGCCGGGACATCCCATTTTGGGGCATCATATGGCCTTGCTGGGCCAACGCTAACTGGCTTTGCTGCATTAGAGAAGTTCCGTTCACGCTGTTGGCTGTGGACGGTTTGGGGCCTCGTGGAGGAAAATCTTGTGCATGTGCCGTCTTCGCTGGAAGCAACTTCTTTCGCGGGCCGGTATTTGGCCAACCGTTTAGATCACCACCGGAGGGCGTGGGATTTCCGTTGGTCGGAGCATTCGAGGTAATGGTTCCTGTCGAGGAAGTCGAAGACGTCGACGACACCGACGACGAAGAGTTGGTTCGATGAATGGTCTTGCCCCTCGCGAACATGTTGATGCCTCTGAGATCGTCCGCATTCATCGAGTTCGGTGTCTGGCCGCCGTTAATCCATCCCGGGCGATTGAGATTCGCAAAGCTAGGAGGACTCGCGACAGCCGTCATGAGGAAATCGTCGCGGAAAGGGGCCGGAGCGGAGGCCGGCCACACGGACTAAGAATGCAACAGGGATGGTGAAGGCTGGCGTAATTGCACCTGTCTTCTCGTGCGTTTCCTGACCCGTAATTGAATGGCGGCGGTATCGCAATTAAGTTGCCTTCGAGACGACGATGGGTCGCGACGGTCTGGAAGAGAGGAGGCGGTGGTCAGCTCTGACGTCGAGGCACGTTGCACGTGGGTCGGTGGGAATTGCGACGCCGTGAGCGATGCTTCAGCTGCATGAATGGAAAATAAATGCTATCGGCAAAGGCCTGGCGAGCGCGACACACGTACCTAGGAATAGCGACAATATGAGCGTGTTCGGGGGTGGCAAAGGGGCTCGCGATGCGACAGCAGCATTGAGGAGTGAGGTCTGGCAAGATTTTGAGGCGAAGGTCTCCTGGCCTTCGTAGCGCTTAGCGAGGAGACCGGGCCAGAAAGCGATCAGCGCGCACGCGCCAGAAGACTCGTCCCCCCTTGTCTCGCTGCGGCTTCGCGCTTGCTACTTGCGGGACAGTCCGTCACGACGTTGACGAGTCAACTCTGCGCGATATCCAAAGACGTAGACTTTGCTCATGAAAGCCCGCTGTCACATCTGCTATCCAGACCGCTGCTTGCGCTACGACAGAGAATTTTGCATTCTAGCTGGTCCCACTCCTCGAGATCTCTCTGCAACCGTCACGTGAGCAGCGCGTGCCTCAGGAGAAGCGGAGACAAGCTTGGTCCAAGCGCTTTCCCCTCCATCACCCTGAGCTCCTTCAATAAAAAGCATCAAAACCTGTCCTCAGCCTTTTTCTTCAATAAGGGTGCAATGTTAGCAAAATATCACAGGTTACTCTGCTTCAACTGAGGACTTAAAGTGAAGAAATGATTGCACTATGAATGCGCACGGGAGTATCCTTGAGTTGAATTGGGATCAGGAGATCCAAGGCGACTGTTGGTCCTCCTTACCCAGATACCTACACTAGAGCGCTTTGCTTCGGCAAGGCTGATCTTGAATGGTCCGTGCACGCTACGCGACTTTGCCAGAAACGCATCACAAGCTGCCCATGGTTTTCAATCGCAAGTGCAAACCAGCAAATTGAATCACAAACGCCAGAAAACAAAGCTTACAATGCCTCCCCCTCCGAGCCATGGCGGTGCTGTTGGACCCTCGACCACCGATAAACGTACGAGGACCTGCCGATCAGCTCAGAAGCCCTTTGCTAACAGCTCGCGACAGTCAAGATGGGTGCCATGATGGGTGGCAGTATGTCATCCTTATGCTGTCTTTTTATTGCTTGGGACAGGAAACTGACGCATGTTCGAACACAGCGGTTGGCGTCATTATTGGCTTCATCTTCGGTATGTCCAACGTCCAGAAGCTGACTGACGAGCTCACGGAGCACTGGCTGACCCGTCACAGGGACTGTCAACATCTTCAGATACGGCGCCGGCCCGAACGGCATCATGAGGACACTGGGGCAGTATATGCTTGGATCTGGAGCAACCTTCGGGTATGATCACAGCTGGTGCTCGTCTGAAACGCATGTCCGCTGACACATCATGCCTTCAGTTTCTTCATGTCTATTGGCAGCGTTATCCGATCCGATTCCTCGCC